TATATATATATATATGGCTTGTGGTGTTATTGGGATCTTCATGTTGAAGTGAGTTTCTCTAACAAAATGATTCTTGTTGTATGTTGTTTTATCCTTATTATGATTTTGTCTTTAAAGTTTCTTTAATTAATCATAAGTGAATGATATGTTTGTTAAACACACGTCCCCTTTAAATGCAATTCCAATAAAACTGCTTCATATACATTTGATAAAATATATACAAGAATTATCGGCAGTTGATTTAATGTTTTTAACTCTTAAAATAGTATAATATATGGATTTGGAAGAAGAACATGCAGTTACTTCCTCCATCACAGTGTGTGCAACTCTTGCTTAGGAGTGTTTTCATTTTCTCTGGATTCTCTTTGGACTTCATTATACATTGTTGTGTCTCAAACAAAGAAACGATGTTTGTTAAAAACTCATATGTAAACGTTATTAAATAAATAAAAGGTAAGTCAAACAAACGAGTGTTTGGAAATTTGTGATTTATAACAGTTATTTACAATATCTCAATAATATTTTTTATTACTTTGGATTCGATTACATACTTATTAATCATACATTTGTATATATGTAAAATTATTCATTTACGAATTGCATGAGGTTTATAAGTTCATATTAATTTTTTTAATAAACTTATGTAATACACGCGTTTCACACCTAATATATAGTATTTATAATTGATGGTAAATTATTGATATTTTTTTAAAAGGATAGTTACTATTATATTAGACACATTTTATTTTGATGGTTATTTTTATCAATACTCTATGGTTAAAATAAAAAATTATTCAATTATTACCGAATATTAATGTTAACTAGTTGTGAGACCCATGTATTATATGTGTTAATTTTTAAAAAAAATCAATATAAAAGTCAAAATATTTAAATAATAATAAAAAAAATAAATAAAAATAATATGTGCGTAAAAATTATATAAACTCTGCAAATTAATCAAAATATTAAATGAAAATATAAAAAACTCAACAACGGATATGGAAAGGTAATGAATATTTCTAGGATATTCACTTTCGGAGTTTTTCACGTGATGTTTTGCAGGTTTTCCACGTTTCAATTGAAAATAACATTTACGAAGGAGAATTTTATATTTGTTTAGGTTTGCATTTATATATTTTTCTACTAGTGACAATTGGGTTGATTATCATAATAGAGGGTGTATTTATGTAAGAAATTTAACGTCATTTTAAACACATTACAAAATAACTAGTTATTTTGCAAAATCTTTTTATTTTATAAACAAAACTGCAAGATTTGTTCCTGTGGTATTCAAAAAACTTTGGATAGAGTCCAAAAACATTCTCACTTGCATAGAAGGTTCAAAATCAAGGTTTTTCGTGTTTTTGGTCCAAAAAAAACTTGAAAAGATGGTTATGCCTTTTTACTTTCTTTTTAGTATTTTTTATAAATTTTCAAATACTAATTTAATTTAAAAATAAAAAGAAAATAAAATAATTATCCCCCTAACCCCACCTCTCTCTCTCTCTCTCTCTCTCTCTCTCTCTCTCTCTCTCTCTCTCTCTCTCTCTCTCCCTCCTGAATCCCAACAGGGATTTGATTTCTTTCTTGAAAATAATCGTTCCTAGCACCAGAAATCAGATTTCTCCCTTCTCAAACAATCGATTCCTGCAACTTAGATTAACCCAAACACTTCGAAATCATGTCATTGGGATGAACCCACCAGATGAATAGATTCTGCGAATGGAGAAGAGAGATGAGGTTTTTCTGGGGTGTAGATTTACAAACAGAGTGTAAATCTATGAACCCTAGACGGTGTTGCAATGATGGCGCATAGGTGTTGACGGTGGCATACAAATAGCAATAGTGGAAGAGAGAAGAGAGGACGAGAGTGAGAGGGTGTTTTGTGTTTTACTGCTATCCACTCACTGGAGTAGAAATCTGCTACCTCTCATCGGAGTGTAGATCTCCACCATCACCTCCAGTTGTGGTGTTGTTGGGAGCCAAATGTAAGTTTCACCATCTTTCTTGATATCTAAAGACTCACTGGTCCAAACAAGTGTGTAATCCGTTGGTGATTTGAGAATGGGTTTCGAGGAATTGTTTGATACGTCTTTTCCAGCGAGAATATGACCGGAAAATGATATGTTGTTTGGTTCTGCATACGAGCCTAAACTTGAAAAGCCTTGTGGGATCCCAACTGGATCGTAAAATATGACACCGAGATTGTCGGGTCCTCCTTCATTTGTTGCCCATATTTTGTTGAGTTTTGTTACCTGACTTACTTGTAATCCTCCAAGATCTATGATTTCGTTTTTTGGTTTTAGTGTGATTGTTTCTTAGAGACTGGAAGATAAAAATGAGAGAAAAATAGAGGGTACCGGTGGAGAGGGTTGGGTAAGATTTTATTTTTTTATTTTTTATTTTAATTATTTAAATACCAAAATAAATAAAGAAAATATAAAAATAAATGAAAAGGGTAAATTTGACTTTTCAAGTGTATCAGGGACCAAAAACATGGAAAAAATTTTATTTTGGACCTTCCATTCAAGTTGGAAACTTTTTGGACCCTATCCAAAGTTTTTTGAATACCACAGGGACCAATCTTGTGGTTCAATTTATTTTATAAGACATAGTGTCAGAAAAGAAAATTGTGTGTGTATATGTGTGTGTGTGAGAGACAGAGATCTCCCATTCTAAATTTTCTATATTTTTTACTTTGTAAAATCTTTTAAAAAGTATTTTCCCGAAAAAAAAATGATTTTGTTAAAAATAGGTTTGTTGTATTATATTTGTCGACAAGCTAGTTAATTTTTTATAAGACCCCACCCATTTTGATATCATGTTGATTAACCCTAAAAAGATGTATACAAGTCAAATTATAAAAACAAATTTTTATATAAATATATATTGGACAATCATAACAGTTGATAATATTATTATTAATAGGAGTCTTTTGGGTCACACATAATAACATATTTAAGCAATTAACGACATGAGATAATAATAGGGATCTAGTTTGTTGATTAAATAAGTGTGTAATTAATTATTAAAAACTTGTAGACTTAAAGGGTTTAAGTGTACAAATTTGAAAGTCAAATTCTTATGGATAATTAATTAGTGACATGTAATTATATCATAAGAATTCTAAACATTCCCCTGTAAATAGAGGAGCCTAGGATCAAAAAAATCAAGTGGAAAATCCTACAAATTCTGGCTGCCTCTTAACCCACTCAAAATCCCAATTCGCCTTGACCAACGTGTCGCGTCCGAAGAAGACAAACCCTAATCGTTTAGGGTTTTGGTGTTTAGTTGAATCAAAGTTTTCATAGGCTATTGATCTGACCTTTGGGTGTGACTGCATCAAATGGATCCTACTTTGAGTTCTATACATTCCGTCAACTAGCTAGACCAAAGACATCAAATGCTACAAATATATGTATACTTATTTCTCTATGATTGTTTCTTTTGTTTCTTTAGATTGGTTGAACATGGATATGCGATCGGGTTCAAGAGATCTATTTTGTATGCAATCATTATAAATATATGTAACTAGAATTTTACCCGTTGCGCGTTGCGGCGACAATAATGGATTTAAGAAGTAGTTGAAAGTAAGTTACTACATGTTGAAAATAGACGAAATGATAGCTTTTGTTTCTAAAAATGAAACGTAGATAAACTCGAATTTATACCGACAATTACATAAAAAAAAACAAGTTACCTTTTTCTTAAAAATTAAAAAATGAAAGTTTTAAATTTACGTCGAAACGCTGACTACCTCGAATTTATATCGACAAATACATAAAAATAAGCACGTAAAAATTAGTTTTATAAGTTAACGAACGAAAGTTGTTAAGAAAAATATGATTATTTATACTATAGGGGGTAAACATGAAAGTTTACAAAATGGAGTGGTGAAAGTGATATTTTACAAAGATCAAAGTCGAACGAACGAGTCAAAATAAAATTTTGAAAAGTAGAGAGATAGAAATGACATTTTACAAATTAGAGGGTGCAAATTGTCGATGGTAAAATTCAAGGAGGGTAATGTGACATTTTAAAAAATAAGAGGTGGAAAAAATCATTTTCCAAAGTAAATGGGTGAAAAAATGTCATTTTCTAAAGTAAATGGTGCAAATTGTTGATAGTAAAAATTAAGAGGGTTTAGGTGACATTTTAAAAAGTATGAGATAAAAAGATCATTTTCCAAAATAAAGAGGTGGAAATTGTCAACTAAACATCCACAGGCATTGTCTTTTAATATATAGTTAATTGATACTTAACTAAAAAAATATAATAAATGGAATAAAAAACATTAAATTCTCAAGAACAAATACTCTTCTTGTGGAGTAAAAAATTAATTGCGAATTCTTCAAAGGGTTTATTTTAAGGTTATTTTTGACTTTAGTTAATTATTTTTCTAGAAATAGTCATGAAATTCACAGGTTTCACCTGCAAAAATGGCACAGTACCTACTAAATTTTTATAGAAGTCATTTTAAATATTAAAAAGAAATCTAAGATTTGACCTGCCAAAATGCCAAAAAGTCTTTTGAATTTTTTGTGGTGGAAGTTACCAAAATCCGTTTGCACTAAAAATCCTTAATCTTGTAGTTGACTTGCTGAAATAGCAAAAAGAAAATGTCAAAGAATTTTGTAAGACTGGCTTGCGAAAATGAATTATAGGATTTTAGTAAAAAATAATTTTGTAAGTTTTTTATGATACCAATCTTCAAATTCTATTTTCATAGAAAAAAATGAGTTTTAACTTGTGTAAAATGCATTTCTTTTAACTTTTTTTTGAAGTTTTTTAGAGAGATTCCACCCAAATAAACGATGTAGAAATGAAGAAAAATGGAAAAAAATATCCCTTATATATGAGAGACAACTTACCGGGACCTCCAAATCATTGAGGGACCCGCTACTAGGTCTATTGGTTCTTCTGGTGGGGAAGCCCATCTCGAACCTGAATCTAGCATCGATTCCCCTCTTAATGTTGAAGTCGGGAGTTCGCCTCTACCTATGTCTTCAAAAGGGGGAAAGAGGATGGTGAAAACCGAACGATTGAGCAACAAGCCTCCTACTTTATCTTCCAAGAAGTCGATGAAGATACGAATGCCATGTAAAAGGAGAGAAACGAGCCCCATCCACGATGCAGGAGTGGATGATTCCAAATTTGAGAAAACTCTATCATTGTAGGCAGTGATTGAGCTCATAGATGATTTGGTGAATGTTTCCCCTCTCAAGCGTCGAAGGACTCTGCGATCTCCAAGAAACAAAGATACATATACAAAAAATGTCGTGGTTGAGTCTCTCATCCCCCTGTGATTGCTACGGATGCAGGTGAAGCTACAGGGTTACATGAGTGCCATGTTCACTTCAATCCAATCTTGGCTACTACTAGCGATGTTGTTGTTGGACCTACTCCATTGGTTGTTCCTCCTAAAGGTTTAAGGGAGGTAGCTCACATCCAGTCTGATGTCGTTGTGGTTTCTACCACTGTTCCTCCTTTTACTGGCATTCTCAATTTCCATGTCGACGCTGTGAAGCATGCTTTTTGTCAAAAGCTACTTGGCCTAGGATTTGGTTATGGGAGGTCCAAACCCGATGTTCCGAAAGCGACGTCAGATCCTATCACTCCTGTTGGTGCAACTCCTTCTTCAAAGGAGACAACCGAGCCTGCGATAGTCGATACCATTGATTTAGACTCTCTTATTCCTTCTTCAAATCATAATGTTATTAAGGCTAACGTTGATACTACTGTTGTCAACGATCATACTCCGAATAAAGGCCCCTCTAAGAGAATTGGTATACCTCTTCCCCTTTTATCTATTTACTTACAAATATTTCATTTGTTTTTTCTTATGTAAACTTCAATGCGAAAGTTATTTCTTCTAAGAATGAGGCTCCCCAACCAACCTTGATGTCTTATGCTACATCCCTTCCTTCTTTTCTTTACCCATTCACGACCACCAAGTTCATGAACAAACCTAACTTGAGGAAGTTAAATGAAGAGGATGGTATTGATAAGGCTCGTTCTCACCCCTTAAAAGGACTTCATTGGATCAATGAGGTGTCCCTTTGAAGTAGTGCTTGTGCCTCATCCCTGGCTACTAAGGAGCTTGAGTTCGAGACACTAAAAAAAGCTATGGAAGGAGCCCGTGTCAGTTATGAAGTTTTGGAGAAAGAGAAAACACAATTGGTCCAAGAAAATACTAATTTGGTTTTTGGAAATAAACAATTTATATCCAATCTTGGCGAAAGTATGCACTAACAGGAGGAGTTGTGCCAACTGAACCTAGACTTGCAGATGAAGATTGATGAGGCACGCAGTCAGAAAACTTCCATGGCCGAAACTTTAGATGGATTGATCCAACAATTTGAGGGTTTGAAAGTTCGTTTTACGGAGAAGGTGTCAATCCTCGACATCGCCTGTTTTGAGAGGGATGTGCATATCAAATTGTTAAAAGACAAATTGGCTTCATGTAAGGCTGTTATGAAAGGTAATGAATCCCAAATCCAGCTTCTAGAGTCCGAGAAAGCCAAGTCTAAACAAGATGTCTTGTTTCATCATTTGATGGATGAGCTGAACTCCGTCGAACTGCATTGGCTCTTGAAGAAAGGGGTATCTACCTTTGTTTGTGCTTCGTTAAGTTTGGAAGACTCTAGTACCATGAATTCCTCTCTTCAGACATCTTCCATCTAATTGGGTCTTCATCAGGCTTGCATGGAGATGAAGGATAAGTATTCCAAGGAACTATCAGGAAAGGGTCTTTTGTATTCGTACCCTAATGGTGAAGAGATGGTGCCAGAGTGTTTTTATGAATTGGTTAACTATGATTATTCTTTTTCATAATGTTGGATTCCGAGGACATTGATGTGGGGTCTCTAAAGAAGCATTTGGAAGACATTCTCCCTCGAGACGATGGGGTTGAACAAGGCAGCTCCTCCAAGTAGCAGGTATCCCTATTTATCATTGTATTTTGTGTTTGTTTTGTTTGTTCGATGTGTTAGTGTGTTTGAACATGATGATTTTGGTATTAGTGGTAATGGCAGTGTCTGAATATGTATTGTGTCCCATCTCTTTTAATCGAATATGTATGTGTGTCTTGTTATCATCTATCTTTGAGCATCTGTGTTATTGAGATTGTACTTTACTCCATGCTCCTAATTAAGATTTATGGTATGTTAGAACCAGATTCTTCAGACTTTTTCATGGAAATGCTCGACACTTTATGGGTCTTTATGTCTTTAGGAAAGTCACTAACCATGACGTTTGAGTCGTAAAAGCTTTCTAAGTCAAACTTAAGATTCTAAGCTGATAATGACTTGTCATATCGATCCATGGTTATGAACCATAGTGATTTTTAGGTCGAACCATGGAATTAAGCCGATGGTAACTTATTATATCAAACCAAGGTTTTGACCCATGATGGCCTTTTAGGTTGAAACAAGGCATTGAGCCGATGGTGAATTATTATGCCCAACCAAGGTTATGAACCATGTTGATTTTTTAGTTCGAGCCATAACATCAAGTCGATGGTGACTTACTATGCCAAACCAAGGTTATGAACCACAGTGGCTTTTTAGGTCGAACCATAACATCGAGCCGATGGTGACTTATTATGCCAAACCAAGGTAATGAACCATGGTGGCTTTTAGGTATAACCATGGTATTGAGCCAATGATGACTTATTATGACGAACCAAGGTTATGAACCATGGTAGTTTTTGAGGTCGGACCATAGCATTGAACCAATGGTGACTTATTATGCCAAACCAAGGTTATGAACCATGGTGGAATTTTATGTTGAACCAAGGCATTGAGCTGATGGTGACTTGTTATGTCGACCCAAGGTTATGGACCATGATGGATTTTTAGGTTGGACCATGGCATTGAGCATAAAATGACTTATTGTGTCGAACCAATGTTATGAACCATGGTGGCTTTTTATGTCGAACCATGACATTGAGCCAATGGTGACGTATTATGCCGAACCATGACATTGCGCCCACGATGACTTATTATGTCGAATAAAGGTTATAAATCATGGTGGCTTTTAGGTTGAACCAAGGCATTGAACCGATGGTGACTTACTATGTCGAACCAATGTTGTGAACCATGGTGTCTTTTTAGTTCGAACCATAACATCGAATTGATGGTGACTTATTATGCCAAATTACCAAGGTTATGAACCACACTGGCTTTTTAGGTCAAACCATAGCATTGAGCTGATGGTAACATATTATGCCAAACCAAGGTTATGAACCATGGTGGCTTTTAGGTCGAACCATGGCATTGAGCCAATGGTCTCTTATTATGTCAAACCATATTCTGTGTCCAGTGTTGAGGGTTCGGGCAAGAGGCCCAAGGTAGTTGATACGACAAGGAAGGGCCAGCAGGGCCGAGGCCGTTGTGGAAAGTGCGGTAGGTCGCACGAGGGGACGTGCAAGGTGGGTGGTTCTGGATACTTCAAGTGCGGCCGGACTGGTCATATCAGCAGAGATTGTACTTCTACCACCAACACCACCCCGGTATCTGATCTGATTTGCTTTTACTGCAATCAGAGGGGCCACAAGAAGGCCCGATGTCCGAGTTTGGCTATAGCAGGACCGGTGTCAGCACCCGCTCCTTCGAAACTGAGGATTACTAACAGACGTGTAATCCGGGCAGATGCGCCTGCGGCGAAGAGCGGGGCTTTCTAGTTGACGGCAGAGGAGGCACGTTCAGCTCCTCATGTGGTGACGGGTATGTATCTTCTCCTTATCTCTTTATTTATATTGAATTGTTGCTTATGTTTATGTGTTTTATTTTTAGGATCGTTCCTTGTGAACGACATCTCTGCTTTAGTATTATTTGATTCGGGGGTTACCCGATCATTTGTATCTCTTGCGCTTAGCAAGAGATTTTCCGGAGCTCCGGGAAAGCTGGATTGTCCGCTAGATGTTGAGATTGTTGGATATAATGTCTAAGTCCATAACTTTATTTGGTATGTACTTGACCCGACCCGGCATGGTCCATTTGGGTTGCATGGCATTGCAATACTTGGATAGACAAAATGAGAGAAAGTACACTTGTGATTATTAATATATTATAAGTTCTAATATATTAATAATAGTATTATTTAATTAGTATTGATCAAGTATTAATCTAGTATTAATTTGGTGATCAAAGTGAGACTAATTAAATATATAGGGTTGATTATGACAATCATCAATTCTTTTATGGTGGATTAATGATCCATGGTTTATGGGTTTGGTTATAACCATATGGAGCTCCATGGATAGTCCATGAGAGTTACAAACCCATGGGTCATGAGGAATGAAGAGTCATGACAATTAGGGTTTACATTTGTAACTCCTAATTATGACACACTATAAAAGAAACCCTATAGCATGCAAAATGGGCACTAGAGTGTTTCTAGAGAGGGCATAACCGATTTTCAAGTGTAAGAATTATTCTCTCAAGTTATTCCAAGTTTTGTGGTGTTGTGTGAAGCATTTGAGGCACAACATTTGGGGTGCTAGGCTCACAAAGTCTTGAAGGAATCTAAGCAACAACAAGGTACGTATTTCTACTAGTATTATGTTTTATGTAATCCCTATGCCATGCTAGTTAGGAAATAACCTTGAAAATGAAATTTGCATGTATATAGAGAAAACATAGATTCAAGGTTATTAGGGTTGCATGTACACTTAGGAAGTGTTAGAATGCTCAAAACCCATCAGTGGTATCAGAGCCTAGGATTGTTTTCTGTATACTTGATGCAAAACTGCTTAAAAATCGAAAATTTTGCACTCTGACGACTGGACTCGCCGAGTTCATGGGGAGGACTCGCCGAGTCCATGAACAAATTCGTCCTACTCGTCAAGTAGGATCATGCACTCGACGAGTAGGAGCGTGCTGGGCAGTTTTTTTTTTCGAGTTTTGTTGCTGGAAATGGATTAAAATCATTATCCCAATCTGTTTTGGACTTGTAAAATCTGTTTTTCAAAAGGATAATGATTATGTTAACCCATTTTACATGACTTTTATCAATTTTCAAGTATTGTATATGTTTATATGATTTCTTGAAATTGCTTGACATGAATTTGTGTTCTTATGAGTTTTAGAAGATCATAGGAATTATGTGTAACCTCCATGTGTGTTTAATTCATGATCTTAATGGCAATGATGGTGTCCATAACTTGTCCTCAAGTTATGGATAACCAAAAGTCACTTCTTTAAATTGTGATTAAAGAACTAAAGAGGTTTCATAAAATAAAGAGTCTTCATTTTATGAACCATTAAAAACTCATAAGTTACAAATTGAAGAGACTTGGAATAGTTTCAAATCTTGCCCTCAAGTTTTGGAATTTGAAAAGTCTTACACTTTAATACTTTAATTCCAACACTTATACTATTATTATAATTTTATTATATAGATATGTATAAGAATATGTCATTCTTACCGTTAGTAGGCCTCATTCACGAAGCCGGTCTATAAGGGGGGTATAAGGTTGTTGCCTATAAAATGGTGACTTAATGGGTGTCCACTCTCACCCACCGCTTCCTTGATCGGTGGAGGGTCGTTAGCCGAACGGGTAGGATACGACTTTAAATACTCATTAAAAGTATAATGAATTATAAAGTAACTATACATTATAAATTCCCAATCTTAGTTACTTTAGGAAAATGTGAAATTGGTGCTAGCCCATAAAATTACACTTTGTACCTTACCAAGTCGTTAGTGGAGCGTGTGTGGTTAACCGGCACACTAACATGGACTAGTAAGTGTGGCAAAGGGTAACTTGACTTTATTATAGATCGGTGGAGCGTGTGTGGTTAACCGGCACATCGATTAGGTAATATTGTTGAGGGTACCAAGTCAATTTGTATGGTTATTCACACCTTGTTTGTGATCCTCGGCATCCCAGTCACAAAGTTGAGAGGGCACAATCGAGATTCAAACATGCCATTGAAAGTTCAATGTATCTCAAAAGATCTAGGAGTTTCAAATCCAATTAAAAACTTAATTATATTTCGTTTTTATGGTGGAAATTGGTAAATCGTCATTTACCTACCTTCAACTATTTTATAATTTGGATTACGGCATCCCTCTTCCAGTTATAAATAGGTTGTTGGGTCCTAGCCTTAATATTTCATATTGGGTGTTATATTAAGGACTTTAAATCAACTAACTTGAATTTATCCCATTATAGATGTCTAGTTTAGACAGCTATGGTCTTCCCAAATCTTTAGGAACAAGCTTCCTAATGAAGATGATATCCCAAATGGCAACCAAGGTGAAAGATCAATCCCTTTGTTGTGCATTAGTGGGACTGGAAATCATACTTCACTTCCTCCACCTCCTCCAATAAATCTCCTTATCCCACAAGTTTCAAGACCTGATAAGTTCTAAGTCACTCAATCCCTATTGGCAAACAAAGTCTATATGTGCTTAGGTCTTGGAGATTAAGTCCCATATTGACAAGCCGGGAGAGCCGGGTGTCGAAGTATCGAGGTAGCTGGCTGTTGACTTGGTTCTTCAGTCACTCCCTGATGACAGATCACGACATGACCCTTAATGATCTTACCTATTTGCTTGATGATGCTGAATCAGCAATGATTTGGAGCATTGGTAAAGCAAAATTTAATTGGAAGATCAACTTCCCAAACTTCCATGGACATTGACAATGGTAACATTGGAGGTCCAGAAAAACTTTT